AGTGTTTAGTGTTTAGGGTTTGTTGTATTTCTTTTGCTGGGGTTATTTGTTTTTGTTGTTCTATAAACCCTCATTCATATAACAACAAATATAATTACAAGAGAAACATAATAATATTTTTCTCTGCTCTTGGCGTTTCTTTTTCGGTTTTTATTTAATTTAATTTAATTTAATTTAATTTAATTTAATTTAATTTATTTAATTTAATTTAATTTTATTTTAATAACGAGGCAGAAGCAATATATTTTTTTTTTCTGCTTAGTCGTCACTGCAGCAAACGAAAAACGGCCCTCACTCTACTACTGGGGACAGCAGCAGCAGCAGCAGCAGCAGCAGCAAAAGCAGCAGCAGCAGCAGAAGCAAAGCAGAAGTAGCAGCAACAAAAGCAGCAGCAATAGCAACAGCAACAGCAACAGCAGCAAAAGCAGCAGCAGCAGCAGCAGCAGCAGCAAAAGCAAAGAGGGTTAGATCCGTCTTCTCTACTTATTCTCTTTTTTTGTATTTCATGCAGCAGCAGAAAACAAAAAACGCTTATAAATAAAATTATAAAAATGGCTAAGTCAGGTTGAACTGATGATGCTGCTGCAGAGAAGATACTGCTGCTGCTGCTGCTGCTGCTGCTGCTGCTGCAGTAGCGGCAGCCGTCTACACGCTGTCTGTACACAGCGTGAGCAACAGAGAACACGCCGAAGCTACAGTAGACGATGCAGCAGCAAACATCCTTCAGCTGCTGCTGTTGCTGCTGCAGTTGCTGCTGCAGTTGCTGCAGCAGCAGCAGTTGCTGCAGCAGCAGCAGGAATTGCTGCTGAAGCCTTTTGCAGCAGCTACGGTGCAGCTGAGGCGCGGAGAGGTGTACACACAGCCAGACATGTAGATAAGAATAAAAGAAAGAGGGAGCCGTAGGTGCTGCTGCTGCTGTTGCTGCTACTGCTGCTGCTGCTGTTATTGCTGTTGCTGCTGCTGGGGGGCGCCCCTACAGCTGCTGCTGTCTGGTGTGGCTGCCCTCCTGCGACGGGGAAACCGGAGAATGCTGCTGCTGCTGCTGCTGCTGCAGCGCGGGGTGGTGCTGCTCCTCCTCCGCCTCTAGAGGTTGTTCTGCTTGCTGCTGTTGTTGCTGCTGCTCCTGCTGCAGTGCCTGCAGGCGCTGCTGCTGCTGCTGCTGCAACTGCGGCAGCAAGTGGG